CTGTATGAAAAAATACTCTCAGGCCAGCCAGTGGCATGGCGCATAAGGCAGCTAGATCTCATGTGGCCAGATGTGCAATTCAAGCCCTGGATCAGGACTGAGAAATGTGTCAGGCACATGTGCATGCATGCCCAAAATCCCAAATGGAGAGAGAACTGAGGAGAACTGAGACTGCAATGTGACCATCCCTCCTAGAAGTTTCTTTCTCTCAGAAGAGCACTTGGTAGAAGCCTCTGGGCTTCCCCCTTCGCAGCGCAACCTTCTGCTCTGTGCCTCAGCCTCCTCCTCAGCCCCGCTGCTGGCTTCCTCCTCCTCAGGCCGCTGTCAACCTGCAGCGCTGGCAGGCTCCGTTATGGTGACCTGCAGCCCCAGCATCATGATTAATGATGATGATCCAGGTTATGACTTAAATTTATTTTGTATTCCTAATCATTATGTCCAGTATTTGGAAAGGGTGTTTATTCCTCATGGACTAATTATCGACAGGACTGAATAGCTTGCTTGGGATGTGATGAAGGAGATGAGAGGCCATCACTTTGTAGCCCTCTGTGTGCTCAAGGGGGGCTATAAATTCTTTGCTGACCTGCTGGATTACATTAAAGCACTGAATAGAAATAGTGATAGATCCATTCTGTAGGTCCATGACTGTAGATTTTATCAGACTGAAGAACTGCTGTAATGACCAGTCGATGGGGAACATAAAAGTAATTGGTGGAGATGATCTCTCAACCTTAACTGGAAAGAATGTCCTGATTGTCAAAGATATCATTGAAACTGGAAAAACAATGCAAACTTTGCTTTCTTTGGTCAGGCAGTACAATCCAAAGATGGTCAAGTTTGCAAGCTTGCTGGCGAAAAGGACCCCTCGAAGTGTTAGCTATAGACCAGATGTTGTTGGATTTGAAATTCCAGACAAGTCTGTTGTAGGATATGCCCTTGACTATAATGAATACTTCAGGGACTTGAATCATATCTGTGTCATTAGTGAAACTGGAAAAGCAAAGTACAAAGCCTAAGATGAAAGTTGAACTTGAGTTCAGAAACTTCTGGAGTCCCATGGACATCGCCAGTAAAGTGATCAAACGGTCTAGTTCTATGGCCATCTGCTTAGTAGAGCTTTTTGCATGTACCTTCTAAGACTTTTCTGTTTTATATTTTAGAAATGTCAGTTGCTGTGTTCCTGAATTCTTTATTTGCACTATGAGCCTATAGACTATCAGTTCCCTTTGGGTGGATTGTTGTTTAATTTGTGAAAGAAAAAGAAAAATCTCTAAACCACACCACTATTCAATGAAAATATTGAAATTGTACCTGTAAGAAACATTTAAAGAGAAGATATATTAGATTTTTAATTGGTATTTTAATTTTTATATATTCAGTAAGGAACAGAAGCAATTGAATACTGTTAATTATACTACTGTGTGTTCAGAAAAGTAAGGAACAGTCAGCGTTCACATGAGTGGCAGTATCTAACATATTTGGTTCTATCAAATAAACCTATGCACTGGAATTATTTTTGCTGCCATGTCAGTAGCATTGACTGTAATTTCTCACTTGTTCAAATTATTTCCAGTGAATTTTTGTCAGCAGTTCATTTTAAATACAAATTAATAAATTTTTAAAGAGAAAAAAAAGAAGTTTCTCTCTCTCTCTCTCTCTCTCTCTCTCACACACACACACACACACACACACACGCTTACATATCCTTTCAAAAAATTTTAAAAAAGGAAAATTCCAAAACATAAGTACACAGAAAAGTTCAATAAAAGGATGAGGAAATATTGAGAGTTTTTTTTTAATGGGTATAGAGTGTCAATTTTGAAAGACAGAAAACTTCTGGAGATTGGTTGCACAACAACATAAATACACTTAACACTACTGAATTGTACACTTAAAATTGATTAAGATAAAAAATTTAAGGACCAGCAGTTAGCATAATGGCTATGTCACTGAACTCCCATGTAGTCAACCACAGTTCGAGTCCTGGACCTGGTGGCTTGAACTCACGCCAGGCACGTGTGTGTGCATGCCCAAGATCCCAAGAGGAGAATGGAGGATAAGGGATTGTAGTGTGGCCATCCCCCCTGGAGGGGGGGTGATTTCTTGCTTTCTGTCTCTCTCTCTTTCTGGCGAGCGCACATTCCCTATAGCAAAAACCTCTCAAAAAAAAAAGAAAAAGAAAAAATGTAATATTATATGTATTTTATCATGGTTGAAACGTTTTTTTAATTATTGGAAAAGATATGCAAAGTAAATACCAAACAAGATAGGAAGAAATTAATGTTGTTTATTAAATATTATTATTTTTAATGTAATAATGTTAAATGTTAAAGTATGCATATTTTTAATATTTAAAGCAGAAGTATCCTAAGAAAGGCTGCTTTATATTAATAATAGGTTTAATTGAGATTCCACGTGGCTCCTGCGAACTAGGTATTTCAGGGCACACGAGAAATGAAGATTTTCCACTGATAATTCAGCCTCCAGCAAACAAGCTAGCGGCAGGAGAGGCCAGGCCTTCAGAAGATTCCACATGGCTTCTGCAAACTAGACTGAACTTCAAGAATTTGAAAGAAACACACCATCCATCAGATGACAAGAAATTACCACCGGATCACAAGAAATATGGGAAAACAAGAAAATGCCTCTCCTCCAAGGGAAAAGAGTAACTCTTCTTCATCCACAAGCAGTTTGGTGAAAATCACGGAAATGTCTGATAAGGAATTTAGAGCATTCATAATGTCGAAGCTAACAGAGATGGAAGAGAAGAGAGATAATCAATTGCTAAAGAGAAAGAAGAAAGAAGTTGATGAGTTCCAGGAGATGAGGAAATTCTTGGAATATCTAAAAGAGGAATTACACACTTTACAAAAGACTCAAACAGAACTGTTAGAGATGAAGGCTATAATACAGGAAGTCAAAATCTCCCTTGAAAGTATTAAAAGCAGACTAGATCATTCAGAAAATAGAA